ACGGCAGCGACATATATAGTATTCTTCCTATACCTTCAATTCTGTAGCATTATAGTCACAGGACGCAACTGAGATTGATATGTGTGATGACATGTGGGCTCCTTTAGGGGGCCGGAGAGGGGTGTTGGAGACCAGAAATTCCAGTTTCCAGTAGGGTTATCCTACTTAGGGTGGTTCCTAGGTACTGGATCCTGGTATTTCTAATATGAGCTCCCTCCTCTTAAGTCTTTAACTTGAATGCCTTTTAGATACATATAAAACAAATTAACAATTAAAAAAATTAAATTAAAACAATTAATTATTAAACCTTAAATATTAACTCCTTTAGGATCCGATGAGAACAGGAGAACAGGGTGAAAAACATTCCATGTTTACTTGCCCACAGTAGGAAAACCTTCTTCTCATCATCCTTGCTCTGCCTGCTGTGGCATTTCTGGATTACCATGGTGGAATTATTCGACCATTTCCCTTGTATTATCCATACCTGTGGCAAACTCCCTAGTGTTTTCATCTTTGGAACAACCTTGCTATCGAAGGAAGTACCATAGTTCATGTACCTCTTGGTATCGATCTCGTACTATCTTTCAGTAAGAGCGTATCTTGCTTCTTCTAATTTTTTCTATTTCCCATTGTAAATGGCGCTCAATATTCTCGACCTCCCTGGGAGGTTGTTATCAGTCAGCATAGACTAACTCCCTGTAAGGTTTCAATAGAGACACATGGAATACTATATGTATATTCCATCTATCTGAAATATTGAGTTTGCAGGTGTGGTTTGCTCTTTTCTCTAAGATTATGAATAGTCTTTATAATTTTGGACTAAGCTTCTTTGACTTCCAACATGCCTGAATGTTTTTTGCATTTAATATTACTTTATTGTTGATTTTGAAGTCAGGTTATTGCTTGGCCTTTCTATTATAATATTTGGTACTAGCCTCTTGTGTCTGCTCATGTAATTGTCTTGCCTACTCATGCATTGCTTTTATCCAGCTTGCATAAAGTTTTGCTTCTGGATTTTATACTTTGAATTCCTTCATCCACTTATTCTGTAGATGAAATCCATACTTTGTATTAAAAGGGGTCATTCCATGTGTATTGATTGCCAAGTTATAGTAGACATGTTCAGCTAGAAGTAGCAATTAGTACCAGTCATCCTGATCATAGTTGATGAAACTTCGCAGATAATTTTTAAGTACTTAATTGATTTACTCAGTTTGTCTGTCCGTCTGTACCTGTAATATACTGTAGACATCCTCCTTTTTATATTCAGTATTTTGCATAGGGATTCCCGAAACTCTCTAGCAAACTTCGAATCCATATCTGAAATAATTTTTGTTGGTAAGCCATATAGGTTTCATATTTTCTTTATGAAAGCTGTAGCTACCTCTGATGTGGTAGCTGTCTCTTCTAATCCAATGAAAAGGGCCATTTAGTAAACTGGCCAACTACTAGCATAATTTGGATATAACCTTGACTTTGTGGTAACTGCATAATAAAGTCAATAGATATTGATTTCCTTGCTGCATAGGGTATTGACAGCAGTTATAGTAGACCATATTTCGCGTATTGTAGCGATTTGTTATATTGACAATCGTTACATGACCATAGGTAATTATTTGTCCAATCTGCCTGACCTTTGCAATAGAAGTCACTCATGGTTATCTCAAAGATTTTTTCTTACCTGAAGTGTCCTTCTATTTTAGCATCGTGATACCCTTTTACTATTGTTGTATGAAGACCCTGGTTTTTTGGTACAAATAGTCTTTACTTGTAGTAAAGCAACTCATTGGATAGGGTCCAGTCTTTTGAAAAGGGTTTGCTATTGTCTCATAGTTTCTCCATCTCACTTTTCTTTTTAAGCCATTCTCTATCCCCCGGGATGGCTTTTAGGATTTGATTTAAGAATTCTGGATTGAATTTCTTCAATTCTTTGCGGGCTAGTATAGTGCTAGTCTTAAGGGTTCATTTAGGTACTTCAGTTGTATGATACCAGTGTCTATTCTGGTCTATTGATAAATATAGCAGGCTAACTACCAGTTCCAATTCTCAGATAGTCATAGCTCTGGTTGCGATATCTCTGCTGTTGAATCCTGACTTGCCTCTTTCAGTATCCTCCAGGTTGTCTATTTCTATCATATCTACAGTATTAATTTTTTCTATTACTAGCTAGGCAATTCAATCACCTACTTTAATGTGACAATCTTTGTCTTAATAGTTTGTTAGTAACACTTTGAGTTCACTGGTATAATCTGCATCAAATACACAAGCACCAGTAGAAATACCACTTTTGACCACTAACCCGCTTCTAAGAGCAATCTTCCTAAAAGGTCCAACCAGTAGCAGGATTG